ATATTTCATCTGCAACAGCAATGTGAACTTTTATAAACATCCATTTGGTCGTTAACTTTTAAATGTATCATAATGCATAAAATATGAGCTCTCTGCATGAAAGACCCGCGACTGGCAGATCAACGAGGTACTTCTTTTCTCTTCAATACGGTAGGAAGTTAAATGAAATGGAATGTGGAGGATGTTAACTGTGACAAGATGATTGACAGGCCAGTTTACAGTGACAGGGTGCGTGTATCTATGTGACAGAGCGTCTGTTAAAGACGCAGTTGTGTGACGTGATAGTATGTCCCAAAGCTTGCCTACTCTTCTACTACACACTCAAAAGTGTGTACTTTTTCTTCACCAAAAGAGTACATACTTTAAGGGCGTAGTATAAGTAGGCACATTGAGACGCGCAGAAACGTGAAGTGCAAAGGGAACAACGGTATGGCAAGCTCAAACTTGACTGAAACGCAGAATTAAAGCAGTGTTGCAAATGAATTAGTAGATATGGCCATGGAAAATATGTATTGCAAAATCATTGCTTTTGCTCTGTTTCATTTATATTTTGCAATTCTTTATTTTTGTTTGCAAAAGTATATGTAGCCCTGTTTTGACTCCATAGAGTGAGATATCCCTGTTGTATTACTGTATTTTTTTGGTTTGACCTACTTTTTGTGGCATTATCTGGGTTATTTAAAGGGGTCCTATTATGCTCTTTTACAATGTCTTGAATTTGTTTTGGGGGTGTACTAGAACATGCTCTCATGCTTGGTGGTTCGAAAAACGCATTGTTTTTTACATAATTTATATTATTACAATACCTTTCTCCCCAGTCTGGCACAAACGGCTCGATTAGTTCTGGGTTTGATGAAGGCCCGCCTTCCGAAAAAAGAAATGTGATGTGATTGGTTAGCTGTCCCAGTGCGTTGGGATTGGCGAACAGCTTAGACGGTGTTTCAGTACAGCCCCGCCCCTTGCCAAAGCAGCAAGTTCCGTCTGCTCCATATCAATTTGAGCCGGATTCAGACCCACAGAATATTGAACAAGAGGATTGCGCAGAACCTTTGCACGCACGGATATTGCAAGACATATTACAGTGGTAACGTTATTGTTGTTGTTGTTTTTTTTTGGCTAAATCACGTTTTAGATAGGATGTCAACTATCGCTTAAAATAACTGCATTTACTATGTACAGATAAGTGCATATGTATTATTTTTATTGTTATTTAATTCTAACATTATAACATGAATTGCAGTGAAACTGTTATACAGTTGAATTTATTTATACCATAGTCCAGTGTTTCCCAGGCGGCATATATATGCAAACTCATTCTCTGCCAGCAGGAGGCGCTGTTGGAGTGGTAGAGATCGAAGTTTCCCCGGTAACGCTGTACACAAAGCAGCGCTCCACTCAAAAAAACACTGCTTTATCAGACATTACATGCACGATTAAATGAATAACATCCAATTTTCTGAAGACAGTCGGTTTCCTTAGAAATACAGTGATATAAACACCCGCACTCAATGTTTGGGAAACACTGTAGTCTCATAATTGACGTGTAAATTCTGCAGATTACATCATTGTCCAGTATTGTATTGTCAGCAATTTATATAAAAACGTTTTCATAATTGTAACATACATATTTACATACATAATTATTCAGGTGCATGTGTAATAACTTGCAAAAACTTGAGGATACAGCAGCACTTCTTCTTCGTCGTCTTGTCTGATGCACTCAACCAAGCGTTCTAACCACGACCTTGCCCCTCCCCACCCCCCAACCATTCGAATTTCCATAGGAGGGATTTATTTTAATGATATTCTAATGGGCCGCTTTGTGATATCACAAAACCCGGAAAACAAACGCTGTAGTCCAAACGAGCCGTTCGTTGTAGTTCTTGAAAAGGGATTTTTTTTAAACGAAATATCTCCCTTTGGAGTGGACTTTGAGATTTGTAAGTCTGAAGATCTTTTTTTATGCCCAAACATACACACTACACACTGACTAAAATTCAAAAAGTGAAAAAGCATAATAGGACCCCTTTAATGGCAAATTATCCTCTGTGCTTCAGTTTACACCCTTTAGGGGGAGCTGTTGTGTTAGGGTGAAGAGTTCAATGTCTTGGCTATGACTCACTTGTACAGTAGAGTGTTTGTTTAGATTCCCTACTTCAGATTGATATCAACCAAAGATGCACAAATAGCTTTTATAGATTCACACATGCTGATGGTTGTTACCTGTTTTTGGCATTGAATTGATGTCTAGAATGTTGTCAGCCTGTCTGTTGCATTTTTAGTGAAGAACTGTTCAAGTGGTGGTGGATGAGGAGATACCCCCTGACAATGTAAAGCGCTTTGAGTGCCTAGAAAAGTGCTATATAAATGTAATGAATTTTTTATAATGAATTAAGTGATGTGAAATGTGCGTTTTCCATATGGTTTCAGGATTATGTGGGTGAAGCACCCATTCACAAAGCAGCACGGGCCGGTAACATGGAGTGCATTAATGTTTTGTTGATCCAAGGAGCCAAACCGGAGTAAGTCACTGTCTTACTGTTTTTTGACGTTTTAGTTATTTATTTTTAAATGCATTATTATGTCTAAATGTATTATTATGTGACTTTATGTAGTACTTTATTATGTGACATCACAGTGTGAAAGAGGATCTCCACAATTAAAAAAAGCTCTGCAGTAGAGCCTTCATTTTGATTGACAATCTCATGAAACCAGGTGGAATAGAACTAGAAAGCCTTGATACATAGTTTACATTCAGATCTGTTGTGGCTCAAAAAAAGCCATTTTCCTTGGAAAATGTGTGTTAATTCAGTCCTGAAAAAGTCATTTGACTTTATGCCACAGTCTGAAGAATGTAAATATTAATGCAAGAATTATTTTGCATACAGTTGGTAATTCTGTCACCCCTGTAGTACAGGGACTATACTAATAATTGTAATACTTCTAATATAAAAACACATTTCAGTTCAAATAACAACTGCAAATTGTAGTGTACAACTACTTAAATTTAATTCATTCAGTTAAAGTGATACTCCATCCCAAAAAAATGACAATTCTGTCATAATTTGCTCATCCTCATATCGCTCCAAAGTTCCAGACTTCTGTTCATCTTTGAAGCACAAATGAAGATATGGATATTAAAATATTAATATTCTTTTAGCATTTTTGTCCATCCATTGAAAGTTTTGGTTGCGTAGTCTTTGATGCATCAAAAAGACGTAATCCATATGAATGGAGAGGTTTAATTTAGGCTTTTATTCACTTATGAACAGATACAGATTGAGTAAATAAAGACTTTAATTTATGCGTTTATTCACATATAAACATTATTCTAACGTAAAGAGAGTGAACATTTTTATTTTTGGGTGAACTATCACTTTAAGGGGGCTTTTTCACAGTGGCAGTTTAGTTTGAAACAGGGCACGGTTCGCATGAAAATTCGCCTGAGATTACCTGAAGGAGGTGTTCTGAGTTTGGTTGCACTCGAACTGTGGCGCGGTTTCGTGTGAATATGAAAGCAACACGGACTTGGGTGCGCACTTGTTCTGGAAGTAAAGTAACCTGCGCATGCGTTTTAGCCGATTACAGTATTTTAGTATTTAGTATTTTCTTCAATAAAACACATATAAGTGATGATAGTGTTGCTGATGTACCTTGGATTCGAGCGAGAATGAGCCTGCAGTGTATTTGCTTGTAGCAAGTGCAATCTGAGAGGCAAATGAATGGTAATCCACTAGTGGTGCAACGGATCACAAAACTCACGGATCGGATCATTTTTTGGATCAGCAAAAATACAAACAATTAAAAATATATAAATATATATACAGTGGGTACGGAAAGTATTCGTGCCTAGAAAAGTGCTATATAAATGTAATGAATTTTTTATAATGAATTAAGTGATGTGAAATGTGCGTTTTCCATATGGTTTCAGGATTATGTGGGTGAAGCACCCATTCACAAAGCAGCACGGGCCGGTAACATGGAGTGCATTAATGTTTTGTTGATCCAAGGAGCCAAACCGGAGTAAGTCACTGTCTTACTGTTTTTTGACGTTTTAGTTATTTATTTTTAAATGCATTATTATGTCTAAATGTATTATTATGTGACTTTATGTAGTACTTTATTATGTGACATCACAGTGTGAAAGAGGATCTCCACAATTAAAAAAAGCTCTGCAGTAGAGCCTTCATTTTGATTGACAATCTCATGAAACCAGGTGGAATAGAACTAGAAAGCCTTGATACATAGTTTACATTCAGATCTGTTGTGGCTCAAAAAAAGCCATTTTCCTTGGAAAATGTGTGTTAATTCAGTCCTGAAAAAGTCATTTGACTTTATGCCACAGTCTGAAGAATGTAAATATTAATGCAAGAATTATTTTGCATACAGTTGGTAATTCTGTCACCCCTGTAGTACAGGGACTATACTAATAATTGTAATACTTCTAATATAAAAACACATTTCAGTTCAAATAACAACTGCAAATTGTAGTGTACAACTACTTAAATTTAATTCATTCAGTTAAAGTGATACTCCATCCCAAAAAAATGACAATTCTGTCATAATTTGCTCATCCTCATATCGCTCCAAAGTTCCAGACTTCTGTTCATCTTTGAAGCACAAATGAAGATATGGATATTAAAATATTAATATTCTTTTAGCATTTTTGTCCATCCATTGAAAGTTTTGGGTGCGTAGTCTTTGATGCATCAAAAAGACGTAATCCATATGAATGGAGAGGTTTAATTTAGGCTTTTATTCACTTATGAACAGATACAGATTGAGTAAATAAAGACTTTAATTTATGCGTTTATTCACATATAAACATTATTCTAACGTAAAGAGAGTGAACATTTTTATTTTTGGGTGAACTATCACTTTAAGGGGGCTTTTTCACAGTGGCAGTTTAGTTTGAAACAGGGCACGGTTCGCATGAAAATTCGCCTGAGATTACCTGAAGGAGGTGTTCTGAGTTTGGTTGCACTCGAACTGTGGCGCGGTTTCGTGTGAATATGAAAGCAACACGGACTTGGGTGCGCACTTGTTCTGGAAGTAAAGTAACCTGCGCATGCGTTTTAGCCGATTACAGTATTTTAGTATTTAGTATTTTCTTCAATAAAACACATATAAGTGATGATAGTGTTGCTGATGTACCTTGGATTCGAGCGAGAGTGAGCCTGCAGTGTATTTGCTTGTAGCAAGTGCAATCTGAGAGGCAAATGAATGGTAATCCACTAGTGGTGCAACGGATCACAAAACTCACGGATCGGATCATTTTTTGGATCAGCAAAAATACAAACAATTAAAAATATATAAATATATATACAGTGGGTACGGAAAGTATTCAGACCCCCTTAAATTTTTCACTCTTTGTTATATTGCAGCCATTTGCTAAAATCATTTAAGTTAATTTTTTTTCCTCATTAATGTACACACAGCACCCCATATTTATTCGTCTCTTAAATAAAAGCTTGCAGATGGATCCGCACGTCTCACGTCTTGTCAACCCCGTAACAAATACAACATAACGCAGTTACAAATAAAGTCAGTAACAGTAGTATTCAGGTGCAGAAATGTAATAATGTAGTGTAAAATAACACAATAGTGCTCACACGTTAAATAAAGATTAATCTTTGTTAAAGCTGTGGTGTTATTTGATTAGCGGACAGAAGCAGGTATTTATTGGCTGCTGTTTCTTTTAAGACCAAAAGGACCTAATACTGACACACATCCGGTTTCTTTCTCAGCTGTTTACTTTCACTTAAGACATAACCGACTGTTTTTACTAGAATACTTGCCAAAAGGGTTTTTTAGCATAACTTTGTGTGTATGTGAAAGAGGAATCAATTCGGCGTTCACGCGGTGTCTCTCTCTCTCTGCGTGTGCACGCTTCACCAGGAACAATCGCACCCGGGCTCGAACCGCAGCAAACGTGCCCAGTGTAAAAGCCCCCTAAATGTTCTGCTCTGTGTTATTGGATGCAGCTACAGTCAGCAGTAGGCTAGCAGAGCTCTTTTAGTGGAGTTTTTCTTCATCTAATAAATGTTTATCTAAACCTGTTGTCATTTAGCTTAAAGGTGAATTGTATGTGTTTAGTGGTTTCATTTTTGGTTAAGATGAAATTCAAACAAAACAAACGCACATTTCCTCATTTTTCCTTCAGCAGATCAGAGGTCTCTTACAAATCTTGGCATGGAATGTGAATTCCTAAATGTGAGAAATAAAGCATCCCAGGGCTCAACATTAAGGATTTTTTTTCTACTGGCCCGGTCGCCCTGTGGTTTAATCTTTTATTTGCCTAGCCACAAAAAATAAAAGTTATTGTTTTCATTGTTTTTGACCCATGTAACCTTGTATTCTAATAAACAAGCTTATTATGACACTAACATTTACCAGTTTAATTTCACAATTTTAGATTCCAATTACAGTACCACAGCAAAAAGTACTAGCCTAACTAATATAAAGTTAAAACATATTTAAAGGCAAGTGAACACTGAATAATAAAACAGGAATGAATAAACAAATTAACACAAATAAATAGGGCTGGGTAATGAAATATTGATTTCTCTATTTTAATCGATTCTCATTTTTATGAAACGATATCGATTCATAAATCCCAAGAATCGATTAGTCTCACCTGTCAGATAATGAACGGAACATTTTAGCGCGCCTCCCATCCAATAATTTGCAATAAGCTTTGATTTGTTACTTTTGAAATGAAACAAAGTCTCAGATTTCAAATTTTGTCCATTTTATTACAATATTCAAATATTAAATGCCATTTTGGCACTGAGTGACAGATCGCTGTGAACTGATCGTCTCCTCTGCTTTAATAGCAGTTACAGCATGAAATAAACATGAATGAACATCCAAAGCTATGTTAAAAGAAAGAGTACAACTTACCAAATCCATATCCTGTCTCATGAAATCGCTCAATCAGTGTTTCAAATGCGGAAAGATGACAATAGCTTGTAAACAATGTGTCACGTAACGTCACATTTACCACAGAAAAACATTCGGTGGCCATGAACTCATTAGTCAACTAGAAAAATTAACTCTAGAGAGGAGCATTTTGCTATATATGCACCCTATAACATATTCATTATAATTTTTTTTTGCTGTTCTTCAATATTTAATTTATGTTTGAATAAATCCGTCAAGTTTTTAAATGGTGACAACCACCATTTAAATTTTTATATTTTAGGAAACTAATTGGAGTAGAAATATAATTGTGTAATTTAAAGTTAAAGTTAGTATTATAACTTTAATATTACAAAACCTTTGAGTATATTTTAAGTGTTTGTATACAAATCAGCAAATTTCAACCTTCCATATTATTGACTCTCAGGTATATTTAACAGCATTAGTTGAGAGATTTTTTTCCTTGAGAAAATTTGCCATGTCCTGTACCTGATATGTATCCAAAATAATCTACATTGAATCGAATCGAATCAGAATCAAATCGAATCACAAGCTTGTGAAGGATAATCGAATCGAATTGTTAAATTTGTGTCAAAACCCAGCCCTACAAATAAATACAAAAGAACAAAAGTATAAACTGAATAAACAATGCTTTGTCATGCATTTTTTCAGGTAGGTCCAACAGTAGTATTCAGCTCCAGAAATTCAATAATCAAATGTAAAATATCATTGCATAGTCTTCACTTTATAAATTAAATATATATTAATCCTTGTTAAAGCTACAAAAGCTATTCAATCAAGATTTTCTTTTTGTCTTTTGTCTTGTTTGATTAACATTAATGACACAGACATCAGAAGGTTAGGCACATATTCAGTATAATGATTTCTTTTTCAACTGTTTGCTTTCACTTAAAGGGGTCATATGATGCTGCTAAAAAGAACATTATTTTGTGTATTTGGTGTAATGAAATGTGTTTATGCGGTTTAAGGTTCAAAAAACACATTATTTTCCACATACTGTACATTATCATTTCTCCTCTATGCCCCGCCTTTCTGAAACGCGTCGATTTTTACAAAACTAATCGGTCTGAAAAGCGAGGTGTGCTCTGATTAACCAACTATCCAGTGCGTTGTGATTGGCCGAACACCAACTGTGTTCAAGGATACTCACTAAGATGGGTGTTTTGAGATAATTTTGTATGTATTTGTGTGTTCATGTGCTCTATGTTTTGGGTGTGTGTGCACAGAAAACAATGCACGAGTACAGCATTCAGTTCTCTTTCATGTCATATTGTGCTTAAATGGTTTAAAATCGCTTGGATGTTAAAAATTGACAAGGCTTAAAAACAAGTGCAAATGATAAACTTTCGTGACAACCCAGCAGTGACAAATCAGTCACCTGTCCCCAGTGTCTTTCATGCTGGCCCAGGGCCATCGGGAAGTCCTTATTGTCGAGCCCTGCATCCATTAATTTCATTTTTTTCTTCTGTCAAATGAAATCACTCTTGTCTTGACTAGCCAATATGTTGACATGCAAGATGCAGATCCTCCAATTTTCTGTGCTGGATTACTAGAGACCTCTTAGAAATGTAATTACATTTTCATTTAAGTCAAGTAAGTGTATGAGACATTTCTTGAAGTAAATACAAGTCTTTACTATTACAAAAATAAATGAATAAATTGTATTCATTTATTTTATTTATTTTTTAATAGTAAAGACTTGTAATTACTTCAAGAAATGTCTCATATCGGATGTTTTTTTGGAGAATGCTGGTACCAAGTGCCAAGATGGGTGGATGGTTGAGTAATTGTGCATTTGTTTTAAGTAGTTTTGTAAGTAACCTTATAAGCATGATGCCTTGTGTTTGGTGTGTGTTTAATGACATATATTGTTTATTAGATTGTCTTGAAGAAATGCCTTTTGGGTCATTCCATGTCAACTCAACATGAGGTCCCGTCTAAAAAAAAATAAATTATATTGATCTGTTTTTTCCTGGTAAAAGAAATACATAAATAAAAGCCAAAATATTTAATGTCATGGGAGAGGGGTCAAAATGTTTAATGTCATGAGAGAGGAGTCAAAATGACCATTTTCACATGAA